GACTAATAAATTACATGTCAAACATTTGTATGGTGTAACGATAACAGAATATGCAATATAAAACCCGAATTGCATAACATAATTGCAAATTATGGCTTATGAATAACACACTGTTTCAATTTCGGACTTATTAGGCACACCTTCGTTGGTCCAATAGAGGTTAGGATGTCATTTTCGTCGTTCCCATTTTTACAGGCAAATTATATGCCTATTGTTTTCAGACACGTCTGTGAGGAGTGCGGCCAGTTGTACGCGGGGGGATCGGCCCTTCGCCGTCATAAAATTAGAAAACATGGCAAACCAGGGGGGATGTCCTGCGATGACTGTGGGCGAATATTCACAGCATCTGATGATCTGAGAGCGCATAAAGTGTCTTTTCATAAATCCAAGGAAGGCGTTCTACTATGTGATAAATGCCAGAAACAATTTGCGTACCAAAAGGATCTACATTATCACAAACGCAATGATGTCTGTGGGAAATTAAAACCAAAACCAGACAAAATGTCTTTTAAATGTCCTCATGAAAATTGCCAGAAAGAATTCAAAAGCCAAAAGTATCTCAACCAACACCAAAACGTCCACGGAGAGAGAAAAAATATTTGCCATGTATGTGGGAAAACATTTATTTGGAAGTGTGCATTAAGAAAGTACCTAAATATTTGCGACAAATAGATGCTTATGTCACATGAGTTTCCTCTGGGATATGGGACAGACACTGATTTCTGTGTTCGTTTCTTTTTTACTTATTTTTATTTTGTCGTTAGCTGCATGGGACTTATTTTACGTTCCGTTTCCTTCAAATAGTGGGTTTTTTTTATAAAGAGTAGTTTTTCGCTTTATCCCCGACAAGACCAAAGATAACATGCGTGAGAAGATCATTTATGGACATTGTGGTAGACTATACTTTGTCCTAAACTCGGCGTGACCGACGAAGGTTTTCCTAAACTAACAAAAATCGAACCAGTGGGTGTTTCATATACCAGTACCCGTATTTCTTTTACACAATTCAGGTTTCATATTGCATATTCTGTTATCGTTACACCATACAAATGTTTGATATGTAATATATTAGTCAAATAAGTAGGAAAACCGACCTCGATACCAGTTTTGACTATCAAAACACTGAGGTTTTTTCACGTTTATTTTTACAGGACTGGGTTATATTGTGAATTCGTTGCACGAATATAAAGATAAATTCCTCTAGATCCGAAACGCAATATTGATGTGATAAGGAACGTTCTCTGTAAGCAGACAAAACACTTATTTTACTCACCGCTGTGTCGTGAAGCGGATGGTCGCCGCCATTTTGGTTGTGACCGGGGATAGTTAGGCCGTGACCTACGGTTTAGGTTGGACCTTGAGACTGTCGAACCGAAAGGAAATGGAACATGATTTCTTTGAAACAGGCTAACGCCGATAAGGAATGCATAAAAGACTCACAAGTGAATCACATCTATTAATTCAAAGTTAGGGCTAGATACAGTAGATTCAAACAATGAATTATACAGCAGCATACATCTGTGTTTTGTCCTTCTAGGACTCGTCAGTGATACTAAATTTGAAGCCTGTAAAGCGACTGTGCTAATTCCAAAGTGACCGAAAGAAATGTCAAAATGTAGACGTAGATGTCGCTAGTCCCGTAATTATAATAACTTTCGTAACGTTCTTATGTTAGATAGTGCTTGAACAACGTGAAGTATATGTGTTTATTCTGAACCGTGCCACTATTCGAACGAATTAAAACGTGGCATGCAGGTTACGGCAAATCTCGGGGACTAAATATCCACCAACAGAGTATATCACCTTCAATATCTAAGATTGTATAAAAACACAAGCGAATAGCACCTATTGATACAAATTAAGATTTAGATACTTTAGAGGCAGATAATTTATTGAACTGCATCATACAGCTGTTTCGTCCTTCTAGGACTCATTAGTGAATGGTAAAAGCCAAAATGTTGAATCATTTTTTAATAATTCTTCAATCATATAAACAATGATCATGTCCAAAAATGAAACACATAGAAAAATTCAATACATGAAATGATGAAATAGATAGGTCATAGATTCAAGGGTAGAAATCGAACGCCAGGAAATCTAGAACACCTGGTATCATTTCCCTTGTAATGTCAAGGGTCTCCATGTAAATCTTTCTTTTGTCCATATTTTGCCCCTGTTTTATTGAAATTGAGATTTGATTATAATTACGTTGACATGTTGGTATTTTTTGGAATATACTGAAAATTATCTCCCTTTACTAGTCAGTCGGTCCAAGTATGTAATGTCACGCTGTCCTAAATAACTCCCAAATTTTCTTCAGATTCATCGTGGTATACCATATGGTGTCTCATGATTTTCACCAAAATAAATTTGTGGATAGGGAAACATGGCATTTCCCTAAAATAACATAGAAGGTCATGTTAAAAGTCTAGACAGAATTAATCAGAAATCAACCAGATGACCATTTCGCTACAAATGTTAATTACATATAGATATCAAATGCAAAGGTTCAGCATTGGTGGCCTACATTATTATCGATATAAGAGAGATAACTCTTCCTTGATTTGTCATTTACTAAAAATTGCATAGTTGTGCATTAAAATAGGCTATTTCACATATACTGTGTAATTTCAGTAGATGGCTGATTATGTTCTTCGTGGTTGAGAATCCAATTATTTTTGGATTGTGTTGTTATTAAAAAGAGACGACTATTGATAAACAACAACACTATTTATAGATTCAATTTGGTTTATTAACGAGCATCAACGACACCCGATCGCTAGGAAATTTAAGGGGAAACTGGAACATTATAGCTCCCAACAATACAAATGTTTTGAAATCTATAAGTAGCAGTTATCCGAGAGAACAAGAAATCAAATGACAACACCAGTTCAAGTTGGATTGCCAACGCTACAAAAGATCATGCTTCGTTGTAGCAAAAGTGACCTGTTCAATGTTTACGCCAAATTAATTTGTTTCTAAATAGCAGTAAAAGTGCTGCAAAAAAGTAATAATAATAAAAATAGAATGCGTGTCAAATACGCAATGCAAATGACAACAAGTGCACAACAAAACACAAAAGTGCTTATTAAATAGCAATGATGAAGGAACAAGATTCCGGCTACGCCCGTTGCTAATGCACACCAAGCCTGCAACAAAGAACAGTAAAACGAACAGTTCTACTCAAAACGTAGAATAATTGGAGGTTTTATGATCATAAGCATTGACACTGAATAGAATGTCGAGATTCATGTTCATAGCTAGTCACTTCAACAATATACAAATTGCGTAACATCTGCCACTGATACGAGAAGCGATGGTATATTTAAAAAGCATTTTTTTAAATCTTTTGAATATTTCGTTATCAGGATATAGAATGAGAAACAGTACAGAAGTGAAAACCTTAGATAAACCTCCGAATTAGAGAATTGATCACGTCCTTTTTTCCATATATACAAACATTCTTTTTGGACCAAACTAGCTCCTTATTGTTTTGTTTCTATCTTAGTTCGAATATTTACATTTGTTATATATGTACATGTATTAACATGTTATTTGTGATGTGGAACTCTCAGCATTTCGTTGAAAAGATAGATGTAATAACCTGTTATCATTATTTCTATTGTTATTTATTATCTATCTGCACTGAAACATAACAGTATCCTACCCTGTCCTGAGATATTCTGGACAAAATGTTGTATTACAATATTCTTTGCTATTAATACACTGGTACGGTTCAGAGTATGCAAATGTATGGTTCAGAATATACACATGTATGGTTCAGAATAAACACTTGTATGGTTCAGAATAAACACTTGTATGGTTCAGAATATACACATGTATGGTTCAGAATAAACACTTGCACTTGATGGTTTAAACTTATCGGATATAAGAAGATTACGAAATTCATTTAATTATGGGACTATTGCACCTATCTATCTATATATTTTTTTCTTTCGATCACTTCGCCTAAAAGGCTTCAAAATTAGGTCCTTAGCATTACTGACGAGTCCTAGAAAGACGACACAGTTGTGTGATGCAGTTTAGTTCATTGTTCGACTCTACTGCATCAAACTATGAAAAGGTGCGTGTCTTTTGTACAATCTTCTACACTATGATATGATTCAGAAACTTGAGATGTGATTTTTTATAATTTAACCTTCACTAATGATAAATTACCAATACCTTATAGATACAATATAGGATAATGTCTAGAGCTTTTCCTTAGTATTAACAAATTGTTGATTGCATAACGTACAGTACCCATACCTTCATCTACATCGTTTTACATGGCTATAAGATATATACAAAAACCTCCAGTTCACGTTGGAGCAATTGTGATCAGTGATACGTGACTGTGGTGATATCATCATTTCTTCTGCTCAAACATCACGAATTTTGGGATGGTTCGAACTTCTTCCTGCATTGCAATTTTTCATAAATTATTATGCAATGCGCTTTGCTTCGAAAGAAACCACAATGCTAGTAAACAACATAATTATATAGATCCCTCATATGCGCTGAAATTCGAACCATCCCAAAATTCGTTAGTTGTTTGATAACATCTCAGAGAAGTCCTTTATGCGAAATATCTTATCAAAGATTGTATAAAATACAAACAAATAAATAGCATTGTTTAGTACAAATTAAGATAAGTGGAGCCAAACCATCAATCAAATTGCGTCCTCTAACTGTTTCGTCCTTCTAAGACTCGTCAATGATGCAAAGGTCTAAACTTTGAAGCCTTAAAGACGATTGAGGAAAATCCAAAGTTATTGAAAGAAAATTCAAAATCTAGATTTGAGGATGCACCAGCCCAAAATTAGATATATTTCGTATTTTTATATGTCAGATAACACCAAGTACATTTGTATTATATTAAGAGTAAGACTTATGCAATAAAAATTAATGACATTCTCAACCTGCCGTTTCAGCCCGTAACTTGTCTCTGAATTTTACAATGAAACCATTTCCAGTCAAGCTAATAAAGACATCCATTATTATTTGGATTCTCTTCCACATTTACGTCTGAATGCCCCACGTCTTACTATGGTACTCTCGATGCTCTCATCATTCCCTGGTGATACACACTCACGGTTTCGGTCTCCAGTGAGACAAGGTAGGGTGTCCACATCACATGGATGTAAGTATGTAGGATCTTCCTCACCACTGATATTCTCCATACTATGATAATACATCCCATTATCCCAGGAATAACTGCGTGTATATTTTCCGTCAATCCCAACATCTTTCGTTTGACACACTTCGAAAGTCTTCTGTTGTAGTTCACCGTTTTCATAATGTGGATCTTGTAACTCACTTCCGATCTTATTTACATTATAATATAAATTTTCTTTGAAATGATCGCTAACATCGTCACATTGTTCGTACGTATGTTCACACGAGTCTTTGGCCATAATGCAGTTGTGCGGCAGAGACATGTAGGGATTGTCTATGACAGTATATGGTCCAGATGCTGTCCTGCTTATGGACAATTGCGATTGGTTCGTGTTGTCTGTTTCATTTACTACAGGTTTCCTACAGTGACATTTGATGTAGTCTGTTTCTTTCTTGACAGCCTCTGCAATATCTGGGTATATGTGTTTCAAACTCTTCCAGAGTACATCGATTCCAGTACCTTTGTTAGTTTTTATGCATTTAAAGATAATAATCCATGATTCTCTGCGACGATGCCTTTGAAGTACGTTCTGCAGATCCTCCCGTAAAAGGACTCCTGCCATGTATAGGTGATCTACGACATCTTTGATGTCAACGTCCCGAGCAATCTTACAGGCTACACACTCTTCAGCAGGCAATATGCCTTGGTGCTTAGATTCAGTCTTAACGAGTTTCTTAAACAGATGTTGGTGAGAAAAGCGAAGGGCGTTTTTGAATTTATCATACTTTTTAGGTCCGTATGCCGCCAGTTGTGTGAGTAATGTCCTTGTCTTTTCCCTCCTATTGCGTATACGTCGCAGCGACTCTGCATCAGCTACACACATAACTTCATCCTCAACCAATTGGTCTAGCAGTTGTGTCGAATCCAACTGTAAGTCGTTCATTAAATCCACATGGTTTTCTCGTAATACTGTTTGGTAAGACTCCTCCTGACGACAAGGTGATTCTGGTGGATAAAAATTAAATAGCTGAGTATAATTGAACTAGATGCTCTAAAAATAACATTAAATCAAATACTTGTCGACGGAATCCTATTTCAAACACAAATTCAGTGAAACCTTGGCAATGAATGAAATCCTGGCAAATACAAAGAGAAAAAGACCAGCTATTCCGGAAGGGTAAGCGTCTTATTCTGGATCGACGACATCGGTCATGTAAATTCTGTGTCAATCCACACAGATTAAATCATGTTCCCAAATGAGAACAAGGCAAGCAACAACGGCTTCATCAGCATACTAGTGACCATCAAACAAGTCCAACCTCATATCGTACAACGAAATAAAATAGTTCACTATGAAGACCATAAACATATGAGAATATCTCTGATGAACATTTTCGAGTTTAGCATTAGACCAGTTTTAAAGGTAGTAAACAACTGAGAAACATTATCAGAAGCCTGTATACCTTTAAAAACAGCTTCAACGTTAAAATGGTGTTTAAAGGGGAACAAGAAATCATCAACAACTACAATGTGTATGTCTATCGATGAGATTATCATTTCGATATGTCTTCAATTTTCCGTTGCCTTTTCCAACAGGTAGTAATGATTTTGAAGTGTGACATTTTGTCGGATTTTTGTTACACTTATCCATGTGAGTTATGAATTATTGTTTAGTATATAAAACGTTAACAGCATAAAATATTTGATATTTCCATTGGCTAATTTATTTTTTGATCTAGAGTACAATAAGTAAGGTGATATACCTCTATCGCATGGTCTAACGGAGAGACCGTACGCTGAACTGTCACTACAGTTGTCCTCACTATTTGTAGGAATCACAGACGTGTGTCTCTTTCTCTTCGCGGTTGGAAGGTCAACCGGGCGCGGGGCATGGTCTGGTGTATCGGAACATCCACAGGCCTGTGATATTTGTGTGGCTGCCGTCCGTATCACCCCAGCTGCTGCTGTTCGCTCTATACCACGGCATTCTAATTCCTCAGACAGTTTGTTCAAGTCACTGACAATTATCCTCAGCTGGTCCTTTAAATCATTCATCTGAATTGAAAGGATTGGAAGATACATAAACTTGTAAGTTCAACCCAACAGTGTAACGGTGACCAATACTATACATCATACTGTCCTATATATTCAGTAAATTGTATATTGTAATGGCTCCGAAAATCATCCTCAAATGTTTTGCAATAACGTAGTTCGTTCTTGTGAGAACAGTTTTAAGTGCTGCATTACCATACGGCTTGTTGACAGATCGTTAATTTAATACCACAGACAGCCTAATTTGTAGTTTTAAAGCTGACTAGAGATGGATGTCAATTATAGTGTACACATATTAATATATATTAATTCACAGGACCTTATGTTCACATTATATTATATATGACGTCTAATGTCGTTACATACCATCACATGTACATTTGTACATCGCTGATCATATAGTTTGTTTTATATTTTTGATAACATGCCTACTAAGATTTTTGGGGAAAAGCCAAACAATACAGAAAGATTTATCCGAAAAGGAAACGTGTCATTTCCGTGTGATTTATAACTACTCTGGCGGAGCATTTTATGTAACACAATTAGTGAAATATATATCCTACAATTATAATATTCTTAGAACGCAGAATAACTCAAGTGTTGCTTTGCATGTTTCACGAGATAAATATATATATATATGTGTGTATAATTACCATAACAAAATTGTGTTATAAACATATTTCAGCATTAAATTATAATCTCATAGTAGTTTAATTCGACTCATATTTTCTTGAAAAATTGAAAAAAAATGCATCCCGATAGAACTACACAAAAATTAAAAAAAGCTTAGTGTGGGATTTACTGTCTATAAACACATCCATATCAATAATCTGGTCAATTCATTGCTTCGCAAATCAGTGTGTTATTATTATTTTCTGTCGGTATCGGTGGAAATATATTACTTAAAAAAAATCTGTCTGTTCTGATGTTAAATATAACGATATGTAATTACGTTTGTATGGCGAAGCCACGATATAAACTGACCACAAAAGAGTGTTATTGAAGTTAGTGGACACCTCGCGCGTGACCGTGACTATTGTGGGGATAGAAACGGCGACGGCATACTGTCACAATTCATGTTTTACTTGACTGATTACCCTGCCGATAATAAATAGTCTGTTGCAAGGAATCTATTATCAGGCTAGGACAGCACCTTGCATAGGGAATGGAGAAATTTGTATCGAAGTTTCTTCTTGTGACATTTATGATCCTTATAATCAACGGGGTTTTATTGCAGGCAAACAAAATGCAATGTTTGTTTGCACGGGGCTCAGTGATTTATACAAATCATGTCATAGCACTTGTATCAGTAGCTTTGGCCGACCACATTAGCGCTAACAGACACTAGCTTTACTATTGATATATGGATGTCTGCCAGACTTAAACAGAGACAAGCTCAGTTTGAACCCAAAAAAAAAAAAAAAAAAAAACATTGCCATCAATCATATTCGTATAGGATGTAGTATGAATAATATAATAGATATTAAAGTCAGAGATTGAAGTTGAAGATGAATAATTAATTTAATTCAATGGTAATTTCATTTTGACTCGTCTCAACTTAATCTTTATTTTCGGTCGAGACAGTTACATAACCTTTATCTCATTAATCATTTCCACATGTGATTATACACAATATGCATGTACAAATACCAAAATCTTAAGAGTCATACGCAAATTATTTCTACTTTATTCCTGTGATGTATTACTCACAGATAAATGTTGCTCAGATGTAGCATGCATTACACACAAATTAATGTTGCTCAGATGTAACAAGTATACCACACAAATTAATGTTACTCAGATGTAAAAGTATTACACACAGATGAATGTTACTCAAATGTAACAGGTGTTACACACAGATTAATATTACTCAGATGTCACATGTATTACACACAAATTAATGTTACTCGGACGTAACAAATATTGCACACATATTAATATTACTCAACTTATGATATCTGTGGTGTAACAGGTACACAATGTTGTATGACACAAAACGTATGTTGTCTCTGGTGTAACAAGTATTACAAATACGTCCAGGGTACTCTGAGTAACATGCGTTAAACACAGGCTATAGTGTATCTGTCGTTACAAAAACTGCACACAAGGCATTGTTGACATGTTGTGTTAAATATTAAAAACGGGTTATCGTGATACCGAAACAACAAAGAAAATGTTTGCATGATAACAGAGTCAAACACAGAAATTATTAGCTAGAATTACAAGGCGTTATACCACATAAACATATACTGTCTGTATTAATAAGACAGTGCGATCCCACATGACAGTTACTAAAAATAAACCACCGGGTACAAGATTTCTTGATAATTGTAATAGAATAATATTCCCAAGACATATGATGTAATTTCTTTAAAAGACAGAAAAACTGCTTAAACGTATTACTGATATCATGAAAAGAACTAGAAACGTCCGAAAACAATAATTGATGCATAGTAATGATCCACGACAGATGTGAAACTTTTAACATGTAAACCTAGCAAGAGTTTGAAGAAGCAAATTTCACTGGTACATTTAAGTCACATATGAATTAAATATTATAACTGCACCGTGTAATTGTGTATATACAGCCGTCATGCTTCACACTAATTCAAAAAGTACCGTATCTGAGAATGATGTCAGAGGTTTCATTACATGCATACATAATGAAGCACAATGAGTTGAACACGCCGTCTTATAATCGCTAGTTCACAGAAAATGAAAGCAATAATAAACGTACAACAAAAAAGGTATATGCTTTAAAAATATCAAGCAGTTGTGTCATTAAAGAAGTCATGATGATATGCAAAACGATAGTCCAACATGACGACATGAACACAACCTGTCATTTGATTACATCTTTGCTACTTACCATAGCGTCCTAAGCGATTCACACATCAGTGGTAACAGACAGGTCCGCTTGCCATCACTACAGTGGTGCTATGACAGATCTATAACTGCACTCACCATTAAGTGTATTCATAAACCAGGACAGATAATGTCTGGGTTTTCCAAGCTTACCTGGGTGTTTTGGCGACAGCCATATATCAGTCAATGTTACACCTTAGCCTTCGTATTGCATATTGCATCATACTTACCAACCTGCGTATTTACATTTTTCCAATGAATACACATAAATAAAAACTAAGAAAACATTACTTAAAATGGATATGTTATACATCCGGAATGAAGTTGAATGGAATCATAACCCAGCTTATATATAATACTTGTTTTGTGTGTAATTTCCCTTACTTGTGAAAGACACACAGTCACTTCCACTGCAAATATTCGTTAGTCTTAAAGTATAGGGACGAGTTATAGTGTGACCTTTGATTCTCGATCTCACATGTAAACAAGATCACCGGTGTCGATAATTTTTTTATGAAGCTTAGGTAGTCTTTTCAACCGTTTAAAGTCTACACCCACTGCTATTGTTTAGGAAATATTTTTGGGTGAGTGTTCATCGGAGAGTTATGTACAACCCTAAAAAACAAAACTAGAAGAAAATGAAACAAATCTACCATGTAGATCACCACGAAGATAATTTGCTGTCAATATCATCACTGTGACGTAAAAAAAGAGACAATGTCTACATGTCAACTTGATCATTATCAAAACTCAAAGTCAATAAAACTAAGGCAAAATCTGCACGAAAGAGATTTACATGAAGAATTCTGAAAAATTATAAGGAGAGACAGAGGAAGCGTCATCCGCTTTATTGATGAAACCCGCCAAGTAAATCTTTGTTAATACAAGTAAGACATGCCACGTACTCAAATGGGAACAAGGTATACATCAACGCAAAGAAAAGGCAAACTAGCGAGCATCTTACACGTCCAGATTCATATCACACAAGGAAATATAAAACATTTAATGAATATCAATCGGCATCTCTTAAAATCATGCGATATGAGTTTGTCATTTGAGGACGAGAAAAAGGTCCCTAAATATCGAATCCGATGCCACATGTAAACGCCATAGGTTGGGGATGCAGGAAGTTTGCTATCTAGAAATGGGAAATTCACAACAGGGAAATTGAAATTATCACGCCTATCACAGAGCTTGGTGGAAAGATGTCCATGCATGTTTTGTTGTAGGAAAAGATCAAGATGAACGTATGATATTGAAGATGTTAGCTTGATCACATATGCTGCTGGGTATAAACGATGGATTTCGTTAGCAAAATGTATCAATGAAATTAAGTGTAAATGAAAATGCGTATTTTGTAAAACCACAAAACTTGAACCAAATGGAAATATAGCATTTCCCTTTTCTTATCAGTTTGACTGTGTTGGATAATTGGCAGCAATCGTTCAATATACTCGGGCTTCAGGTAGATATAGGACAAAAACCGCTCAGTATATTGAGGCGTCAATACAACATACAATAGAGAGAGGTATAAAAATGCGAATATATCTGTAGATAAGAAGGAGTGTTCCATGTGTACAAAGTACGGTCAATATGGCCACTTTGATGTGTCAAGGTTAGGGCCCCAAGTTGTGTTTTATGTCTGTTTAGCGATATTTAGCTGCATTGATAGATTGACAGTTTACCTGTACAGTGGTCATTTTATTATAGCGGTCACTCATAACTGGTCAGTGCGGTTGGCCGGACACACCGATGGTAGAGGTCATACACATGAAAAAAAAAGCCATCTCGACCCTTCGGGTATACGAAACATCAATTGTCAATTGCATAGATAGAAATAAAGGATCAGTTTACGCTGCCTGGATGATCATACCTGAGAGATGTTATCACATGAAAGTTTAAATAAAATGACAATGTTTATTGTGATAGGCTTGATAAAGATACGGCGGAATCGGGAATAGCAATACTGGTGATTTGCGATGTTGTAATTGTATTAATACAACCATGTCTATTACACTTACCATATGGGCATATAACATGTTAGTTGTGCAATAATTACTATTTAACATCACCAACGAGTTACACACGGACTATTATCAAACACAAATCGCTAGTTATAAGGATAGCAATTAAATACT